CAAAGCTCCTAGGTCAGGAAGGTTTGTTTGTGGATTCCCAAGAGTGTTTGAATTAATATGGACTTTGTCTCTGAGGGGTGCAGTCACTTTGTAAACAAGTACCAATAATTTCGTATATATCATTTGTGAGGGAAAGCACCAACAGATCAAGCCTATTACACTGAATAATTGATACAATGAATAATAATGGCGAGGTTGGATGACACATGTATTTTAGTAAGTTTTAAGCTTTAGGCCTCCCTGGCAATTTATTGTCAAATAATGACTCAGTCCAAGTTGTACGTTGCCATAATCTGCACATGTATTTTTTTTTTGGGGGGGGGGAGGGCTGTGTAGTCTAGTGGCTATTTTATTGCTATATGTGGTCCTATTACAGATAACTAGATACAATAAATTACAAAGGTGGACAGTCTTTTTTAAGTATATGTGGTGATGGTGTTTTTTTGTGAGAATGGTAAAGTCATGAGGATAGTGTAATTTACAATAATGTTTATGTCAAGTTATGTGATGGCTTAATTTACATAATGGTTATAATAGAACCCTTAGAAACTGGAAATAATGGTCACCTTATTTATGTTTCTGTTGTTAATTTTAAGAATTGTGATCATACAGGCTATACCATTAAAACCTATTGAGTTTTTCTTAAAAAAAAAAAAAAAAAACTTTTGTATTCTCTATGTATGTGTGATGCAAATAATAACATTCATTTTGCTTGCATGCATGTCCTTTTTGAATTGTAAACAAATTTATGATGATATATTTTTAGGAGTGAACTATAGAGTGTCATGTAAAACTCCATATTTTGACCTAGTTAATACTCATTACAGCAAGATGTTGGAAGGTGCATCTCCAGTAACCCAAGCCTTGCTGGGGACTTTACTGACATGGGGCCTCACTGCTGCTGGGTCTGCTGTGGTGTTCCTGCTTGCTGGAACTAAGGTCTAGCCAAGATTTAGAATATTAGTTCCATTTTGAAGTCTATATAAAGCCAGAGAAAAATAGTAATGATAAAAAAGAATGATTGAAATAAAATTGAAGTTATGAAACTCTATCAAATGTATTTTTCCTCAACAGCGGAAAGTACTAGACAGCAGTCTAGGTTTTGCTGCTGGAGTCATGACAGCTGCATCCTTTTGGTCACTTCTGGCACCTGCCATAGAACTTGCAGAATCCTCAGGAAGTTATGGTAGTGAAGGGGAATGGGCTTTTATACCTGTGGCAGTTGGATTTGTTCTTGGTGCTGCCTTTGTTTATGCTGCAGATGTGTTCATGAGTTCAACTGGCAGTCATTCACCTAACTTTGCCCTTGGTATGTGTTTGATTATAATTCTTTGGTTATTAGCACAATTAAAGATAGTTATATGACTACTGATTAAGTTACAGTTAATCTTTATGGTATGGATGCACTAAGGTAGGGCAAATTGAAAATTATATTCTTGTAGAGGACTAAAAGTTGCATAGTACAACTACTTTCCAATCATTGTCACTTCAAAGTGATTATCATAAGTCACTATCTAAGCATCTTTATAATCACTTTCTCATATTAAGCCTTTCTAAAATAATGCTCACTTTAACAAAGTTTAGGCTTATTTTCTCCCATTCATTTTGAGATCAAGTGATCTGTTAACTAATTTCCTCATGCAATAACTTAATCTACTCAGAGACCAAGTGCCTGCAATAATAGATCTTTATCAGGGCTATAAAGCAAATAGAAATAATTGAGAATCATGGAAGTATGCATGTACTTCTATTCATCTCTCTGTATGTCTGTGACTTTAGTGTTGGAAGTACATGCTTGCTTTCACTTGGGCTAAGGTAAAGGAGGGCAAATGGTACCTAGTCTCACCATGATGAACCGAGCTGAAATACTGCATGATGTGTACCCATAAAACATTCAATTAAGCCTTCTCTGACTTGAAAGTGTGACACAATTGTATGTGTTTGACCCTCAAGGCCCCTAAAAAAATTTGTATGCTTCAGCTTCTGCTTCTTCATTGGAGTGACTGAGTATGGCTCAGTAGGTGTGGATAAAACCCATTGTCATGGTTAAAGACAATGTTTTTTATGATTAATCTATATCAGTTTGATTAACCCAATGCTACTGGGGAAAATGAATAAAAAAAGGTTAAAAATGGTGTGCTCATTTTCAATATTTTTGTGAAATGGATCTGCACATAGATGGCTCTGCTAGTGCTTCGCTACAAAGGAGTCAATTAGTAGACCTTGTGACCTTACCTGATTTGAATTGTCAGGAAAATTGTATTTTTGGTGTATGGTGTTGTTTTTATTATAAACATCATAATTACTATAATGTTATAAACATCAGTAACAGCTAAATAAGATAATGTAAAATATTTTTGTAAATCAAAGAAAAGGGTAAATGGGTGAGACATGCAGTACCCATAATTGGCTCATTGGTAACTTTGTACAAGTGTAGACTTCTATGTGTAAAAAAAGTTGAACAGTTAACTCACAGGGGCATGGCACGTACATACACGTC